TTTCATTTAAATCATCAAGTGTGCTGCCCTAAGTGTTTCAGATAGTCTCTAATGATCATAAACATCTGCATAATCTGTAGTGGTGTGATCTCTCTCCTGACAGGGGTAATCTGTCCTATCTTTTTCTCCTAACCAGTCTAGACAGAGGTTTATGAATTTTTTAAGCTTCTCAAAGAAACAGCTTTAATTTTCTGCTGTTTTTCTGTTTTCTCTCTCTAGTGTCACTGAATTCTGCTCTACTTTGCTACTTTTCTTCTTACACTTCAATTTGATACTGTTTTTCTACTTTGGAAAAGTGGAAATAGAAATTATTACTGAGACCTTTTTACTCCTATCATAGGCAGTTAGTCCTATACATTTTCATCTGAATATTACTTTAGTTGCACCATAAGATACAAGGCCAACACACAAAAATCATTTGTATTTCTATATATCAGCAATGAACAAGCATAATTCAAAAATTAGAAAAACAAAACTATTTATAATAATGGCCAGAAAATAAATATTTAACAAAATATGTACAAGATAATGTATGCCAAAACTACAATGTGCTGATGACAGAAACTATAAAATGTGAATACATGGAGACATATCACATGCACGAATCACAAAACTCACTATTGTAAGTATGTGAATTTACCTCCAAACTCATCTATAATGAAATTCCAATGGAAACCCAAGCAGGACTTTTGTATAGATAGACCAATTCTAAAATATATGTAGAAAGGTAAAATTAATAGTAAAAACAAATTGGAAAGGAAAAAAAATCTGGAGGGTTTAAATTATCGGATTTTGAGATTATTACAAAGTATGGCAATCTTGGTCATGTGGTTTTGGCAAAAGAAGAGACACAGATGAATGAAGAAAAAAAGTCCTATATAGGCCCATATGAATGTGGCTAACTGATTCTTGACAGAGATACAAAGGACATTCAGTGGAGGAAGGACAGTCTTTTCAACAAATGGTACTGAAAAAACTAGACATCTGTCCACGTGCCCCAAATAAAAACAAAAAGCATGAACCTCACACTTTAAAAAGTTATCTCAAACTAAAAGTTATCTCATGTCTAAATATAACACTTAGAATAAGAAAACATTCAGAAGGAAACATACAAAAGCTTTGGAACTTGACGCTAAACAAAGATTTCTTTTGGACATGACACCAAAAAAGTATAACCCATAAAATGATAAGTAGACTTGCTGAATTTAAAATGTTTGCTCTGTGACTGGAAGTAAATGAAAAGGCAAGCTGCAGAACGGCAGAAAATAGTACAGAGCATGTATCTGGCAGCAGATTTGTATTTACACCATGCAAGGATTCTTAAATTCAATGGTTAAACAACACAATTTAGGACTGAGACTTGAACAGATTCTTCACCAAAAATGATATACAGAAGGCAAATAGGCACTTGAAAAAATATTCACCCTTTTCAGCCTTGAGGAAATATTAAAACCATGAGACACCACTACACTCCTATTACAGTGGATAAAGAAATACGGACAACATCAAATGCTGATCAAGACACAACTGAAATTGCCTTTCTGTTGAATAAGTGCTTCTTGGACACGCTGTATCAATATGCTTATCAGAGTGAAAATTTGATGCTATGATTTCAGACAAAGACATGCTCTCCAGTTTACTTAATATAAGTTTCCAGTCAGGAGAACAGATGGAACAAATCTGCATGTCCACCATATTTGAATGAACTGTAAAATGTTTTTCTTCGCATGGGCAGAATCTTCTAACTTTGGTTTATCATGTGTGTTCACCATTTCTTTTCTTTTTAAAGCATTCTTCTATTTAGCCTTTATTTTGTCCTAAAGTAGGGGTCAGGAAGTTTTTCTGTACAGGTTCAGACAACAAAAATTGTCAGCTTTATAAGCCACAAGGCTTCTGCTGCAAAACTTAATTCTACCCTCAAGTGAGAGCAGGTGGGGACGGACAGACCAACCAGCATTTCCAATCTGCATGTTCCAATAAAACTAAAAGTTGACTGTGGCTTGATCTGGCCCATGGGCCATAGTTTACCAACCTCGACTCTAGGGACTTAGAGCAGCAGGACACCTAGTAGCCAGGACCAGGGCCACTCTTGATTGGCACCAACCATTTAATTAGCAGCTGTCTGGTTTCAATGTTGGGGCACTCTCCCATTGCCCTGGTCCCAAGATGGTCTCAAAGGACCTCCTTTTTTTCTAATCAGAGCTCATGCACTTGAACTCTTTCAAGTCCTTTCACCACCCATGCAGCAAGGGTGGAGCCTGAGGAGTAGCTAGGCAGAGGGACTAAGTGGCAGGGCTGTGTCAAGGCCCAAGTCTTTCCAAAAGAATGAAATTCCTTTACTAACAGCAAGCATCTTCACTGCCCCATCATGAAGTCATTAAAGTGTCTCCCCGGGTATTGGATTCAGCCCTCAAGTCAGTACCTCTGGGGCGGGATCCCACCACCAGTGACCACGGAGCACACCCAGGTGAAGGAGCAGTGCCTTGCTTCTCCAGACTGTCTGGTGGCCAGAGACACATGCCTGCAGGACCAGGATCCGGGGCATGATGCCACAGAGCCTGGTCTTCACAACATCCACAGAAGGCTGGAAAGAATGCACTTTATTAATCTACCTCTAAAACTCTACAGACTAAAATTCTGCTGAATTGTAATAATCTATTTACACAGTGCTGCCTGCAGGCTGGTTGAGGCTGGGCCTGCTTCCTCCCCAGCCATCCACCAAGCCCATGGCCCCTGCAGGCCTGGGGCCACCTTCCATCTGCAGCACAAACACCCGCACACCAAGGAGGCTCACAGCCACCTGACCAAGCCCTCAGCACTGACAGACCAAGTAGGAGGATGTCAGCCAACACAGAGACAGACAGATGGGCACAGAGACAGCAGAGAGGCCATGGGCCTGCTTCAGTACTTCTTCAGATTGTGGACCAGGATGCCAGGAGTCCTGGTGTCCCGCAGGGGCGGCGAGTTCCAGACAGCCGAGCTGGTGCGCTTGTGGTAGCGGGGCTTGCTCTTCTTGAAGATGTCCTCCAAGTCAGGCAGGAGAATGGGTCCAAAAATCTCATCAGTGTTCGGTGGGTTACAGTATTGAGAGACGACAGCCTGTGAGATCTGGGCACCTATGTGGAATGCAGAGGCCTGGTCAATGTCTTAGGCACTCCATGAGGTCCCTGTCCCTTGCCCTACACACAGCCCTGCCACTCTTGTCACCCGAACATGCCCTGCCCCTGCTCCTCTTGCAGAGCCTTCTTCAGGCTCACCCGCCACCCACACCAGCTCTTGTTCGTCTGCAGTCCTCTGGCAGCTAAACCAAAGTTCCCCAAGAGCGGACAGAAGCAGGTGCTTTATTTTCCCCGTTGTGTAGATGGAAGACTTGCCCCAGGGAACAGAGCCCGTGGCTAGTGGAGCCGGGCGTGAAGACAGGTCTCGCCCAGAGCTGAAGCACCAAGCGAGCCTCCTTGCCTCAGAGCACAGGCTGACCGGGGACAGAGCCGAGGCCGTGAGAGGGCACAGCCCTGCCAGCAAAGCTGAGGAAGACCCTGAGGGATCAGAGGTGGGAACGTGCACCCAGCACTTGCCGGGCATCGGGCGCCACTCTGCACTCATTGTATTCCCCAAAAATCTCCTCAGCCAGGTTTTACTGTTAACCCAGCTAACAGATAAAGTAAACTGTCTAAGGTCAACTAAGCTTAGGTGGCTTCTCTGCTGGCACTGGCCCCTGCTCACTGCAGCCTCTTGGGTGACTTGACACTTCTAGTTCGACCAAGATTCCAGCTATCGTGGGGTTCAAAGGAAGTGAAAATGACAAAAGCAAGCTGTCTTCTGTAGAGCGCTGACCCTCTGTGGGATTCCTGGCTGGGACCGGTCTGGCCCTCTGGAGGTCTGCATCCTGCCCCGACCCCCAGCACACACCCTGCAAACCACTACTGATGGCACCAGGCCCTGCTCCACACCGGCAGGCCTCGCACCCAGCCCAGGGCAGCAGTCTCACTCACCTGCACGCTGTTTAGATGCTGGGGCCTGTAAATCCCAGGTCAAATCCTGATCAAGTGTCCCGTTGCCCTCCTCCAGGTCTTTCCTGCCATTCCCAATGGCTTGAAGCCCCTGGCTCCAGCTCTTGGCACTCTGCCTAAACCCTACTACCATCCTCAGCCCGACAGGTTGCTAATGTGGGTCTAAGCCTCATTGGCCCTCCTGAGTGGGGCTCTAAGAGGAGCTTGAGTCTATCAGAGCGCCTGGTAGCATGCCTTGCCTGGGCTGGCCACAATGTACTCACTAAGAAAACAGGCATCCACCACCCTAGGCTGGTCCTCAGGTGAGCCCACAGGCCCAATGCAGGCTTCTTAGGCCAATTTCTCAAGCTGCCAACCCCAGCACAATAGCCTGGCCCCCTGCAACAGTCTACCTGCCACTTCCAGGGCCTGAGAAAGTGAGGAGAGGCAAAGGCCTGAGTCTCCTGGGCACTCTAGGCCCTGCTTACCTTGGGCCCAGCGGGGAATAGGCTTCCGGGGGTTGGCCTCGTCATCAGTAGAGTCATCACTATTCAGGTCCATCCCATAATCATCTGTAATGATTATGGGGCAGGACCTGGGCCCTTGTGGAGTCATTTGATATGAGGTACAAACTGGAGACTGGGGGGGAAAAAAAAAAATCAATATGGCCATCACCTCCCTTCCCCTACCCTCCTACATCCCACCACTGGGGGACGCTGGGCTCCAGCCACCTTCCCTCACCTCACAGGAAAAAAACAAAAGGTTTAGGGTCACATTTTAATCTTAAAAAGTCACAGAATACATACTACTCTGCATATTCATTTCCACACAAATATTTTTCCAGGTCAGTGTGTCCAGATTCACCTCTCAGATCCATGATCTTCAACTTAACCCTCCAACACAGACAGACAGACCCAACTTCCAGTTTTCAACATCTTAACTTTGCTGCAGTGAAAACCCTTCCTTCACACTGTTTTGTTTGGTATCATCACTGAACTGAAAATAGCTGAAATGCTCAGCAGGAGCTGGCTAAATTCTAGTATAAAAAATGGGGACACAGACATCAAAAATAAGAAATGCACAGGGGGCAGAGCTGGGGAGAGAGATTGGCCAGAATACATTGTTATATTGTGTGCCTGCACCAACAGGTAACAACAAATCCCATCATCACCTAAAACAATAATATACCAAGGGAAAAAAAATTAAGAAATGCACATATGTTGATATCTCACTTCAGTTAGAAGGACAAACATCAAGAACAAAACAAAAATAAATGTTCAAAAGGGTGTGAGGAAAAATGAACATTTTTACACAGTTGATGGGATTATGTATCAGTACAACCACTATGGAAATCAGTATGGCAGTTCCTCAAAAGACAGGAATGAAACCACCATATGACCCAGCTATGCCACTGCTCAGTATCTACCCAAAAGAACCAAGCCAGCGCACTATAGCAACACAGACACGCCCATATTCATAGCAGCAAAATTTACAATAGCCAAATCACGGAACCAGCCTTCTTTTTTTTTTTTTAAAGAGAGAGAGAATCTTTTTTTTCATATTTATTTTTTAGTTTTTGGTGGACACAACATCTTTATTTTATTTTTATGTGATGTTGAGGATCAAACCCAGTGCCTCGTGCATGCCAGGCAAGCGTGCTACGTACGGCTTGAGCCACATCCCCAGCCCCTGGAACCAGCCTTGATGTTTACCGATAGAAAAAAGGTATATGTACATAATGGAGTTTTATTCAGCCGTAAAGAACAAAATTATGTCATTTGCAGGAAAATGGATG